GGAAACCCTATTCAGGGTTGCTATGAGTCACAATGGAATCTGCAGCATTTAATAACAGCAACTATATTTATATGATGGTTGGTGTTTATGTGCCATGGAGTCAGTTTCTTACAGCATTCCTGTATAGGGATTCCAAGGCTGTAAATCTTTAAAGTAGCAGAAAGCCTTATCTTTCTCCTGTATAATGGCTGTTAATCTTGAACTGCTGACCTTGATGTTAGCAACCCGACTCGTAACTACTACACTACCAGAGCTCCTTTATACACATCTCCTTAATTTAGGCTAATTTTTCTAGATAATCATCATTCATACCAATTACTCACATTTTCTTAATGTAAAGAGTCCATTAATGGTTCTCTAATATTAGGAACATTAATGGACTCTTTATGTTAAAAAATATGAGTAATTAGTTAATCTTTTTCTAATATTAGGAAGAAGTCCTGGTGTGGCACTGTAGGATAAGCACTCAATCACAATGCTGGTTAGAACCACAGGCTGAAGGTTCAAACTCACCAGTCTCTCCTCAGAAATCCTATGGGTTGGAACAGACATGATGGCACTAAACAACCACAAGAGATATTAGGAAACATATAGCACCAAAGAAAAAATGATCATATTTCAAAGTAGTTATTCTAAGCATTGTTCTAAACACAACTCTTCCACATACAAATTAATATGTAAAAAAGAACAAATAAAAACACTGAAAATAATGTAGGTGGCACAAACTGTTATGCACTTGCCTATTAGCTGAACAAGGAGTTCTGGTAGCGTAGTGGTTATGAATAGGGGTGTGAACCACAAGGTCCGCAGGGAGAAAGATGGGGCGTTTTGCTCCCATAAAGAGTTACAGCTTCGGAAACCCTATACAGGATCACTATGAGTCAGAACCGACTCTACAGCCAACACCACCATTAGTCAAACGTATCTAGATATGCTTGGAAGTTCTGGCAATTTGCTTCCAAAAGACCATAGCCTTGAAAACCCAGTGGATCATTTCTATTCTACACCCATGAAGTTCCCAAGAGTTGGAATCAATTCAACAGTAGCAAACAACAATGACACGAATCAGACACTGTAAAATATTTCACATACTTTAAATCATTTCATTTTTATGGAGCACTATGAAATTAGCAGAAAGCTCAAATAAATGCTTCAATGGCACCCAGATGGCAAGTGATGGAGATAGAACTCCAAAATTTGTGTGAACCCATGTTTTGTTTTGTTTACATTGTTCCATATTTTCTCAAAGGCTGGTATCATAGAAAGACCAATGATAAACTGATAAGTTACTTAAGTCATCATTTTAAAGGGAAGAAGTACAGTATGTTGGTAATTCCATTGATGACTTTTGTCACTAGAGTTTGAGAATGAAGATAACAAGCTAAAGAACCAAGCAAAATTTGTCTGAACTAGACTTGAGCAAACAATGACAGTTTCTATGTGTGCATCAACTTGGAAATCCAGTAACAGTTCAAATTTTTATTTGTCACAGTTTGGTCATAGAAAAAGCATGACTCAGATGGTGGACATTCCATGGTTTGACTTTTGTTTTGAAGTTGTCATTTTCATGATGTGTTGGTGCTAGAAGAGTCTTAAAAGATCATCTTATTAATATGTCTTATTTTAAGTAGTAACTAAGATTATGTTGATGAGATTATATATATAAAACTATCAATCCAATATTTCTTCAGGTTATGTTAAATCTCTCAAAAGAGTTCTTAGATAATATCACACATTGCCCTGGTGTGGCACTGTGGGATAAGCACTAGACTGCTAACCCCCAAGTTCATTGGTTCAAACCCACCAGTCACTCCTCAGAAATCCTACACAGGGTTGTGATGAGTTCAAACCGATAAGACAGCACCTAACAAAAACAAAATTAATGTTTAGTAATGAATATTAGGTTTCTTTGAAACATTTCATTGACTGTCCTAATCTATCATAGTTACTCTTTAAAAAAAGCTGTATGTTATTTTATTAGTTTAAAATATGCCTTTAATGTTGTTGTTGTTGTGCTCCTGGTGTGGTGCTGTCAGATCAGCACTAGACTGCAAACCTTAAGGTTAGTGGTTCAAACCCACCAGTAGCTCCTCAGAAACCCTATGCAGGGTTACTATGAGTTGGAACCGACTCAACAGCACTTAACAACAGCAATGGTAGTGTTGTTGTTGAGTGACAACCTTGCATTTAGCAACCCAGTACTTACCCTGCTGCATCACACCAAGAGTCCTCATCTTTAATAACAGTCCACAGTTTAAAGATACATGCTACAAGGGAATCGTCCAATTAAACAAGACTATAGAAGAGTCCTGGTGTGGCACTGTGGGCTAATGCATCAGACTGTAATGCCATTTGAACTGCAAGGTCGGTGGTTCAAGCTCACTAGCTGCTCCTTGGAAACCCTATACAGAGTCACTAAAGGTAGGAATTGACTTGACGGCACTTAACAACAACAATATGTACTTTAGGAATATTTTGTCCAAGTGTTGGTTTTGAGTTAGTTTATTAAAAAGGAGGATTAAAATTTCTCATTCTCTATTTTCCAGAGTTTGATGTAAAGAGCTTCTGTAAGATCCTGGGGCCACTGTCCTATTCCAAGATCAAGCATTTGCGTCTGGATGGTAATCGCCTCACCCAAACTAGTCTGCCACCTGATATGTATGAATGTCTACGTGTAGCAAATGAAATTACCATGAATTGATGTCTTCTCAATTCAATTAGATGAGGTGTATCCTGGTGTTTAAAAAAATTTTTTTGTATCACTTTTCATAGTATCCCTTGTTCAGTGTTTTTTTTACTTCTGTAATTTTAAATTTTGAGGGAAAATGTTTTGTAAACATTTTACCTCTTCATTTTTAGAGAAAACGATGAAAGGCAGGTCTATTTCATCACAAGCATACACACTTGCATATACACAGACTCCACACTAACACATTATATGTAAATTTAGTATTTTCTGGATCAAATAGTATGAATAACCTTTTATTTGTTTCATGGAAATCAGCCAAGTTAATAATCTTTACATCTTTATTTAATATTGAAAAAAAACGTGGACTGCATTAGGATATAGTCTGTATTGATCCACAAAATCATCTCAATATATTCAAATTTGTTTAATTGAAAAATAGATAGTATATTTTGAGACCAATACTTTTGAAAAATAACACACAAAATCCATGATGTTAAACATATATAAAAAAATATTTTACTATTAAAATGCATACCTGGTAATTTTTTTTTTCTAGAATTATTTTTCACTCTAAATCATGTGTATTTCCTTTTGATTATTTGCATGTTATGTTTAACAAGCTAATAGCAAAATAAAACATAGCAAAAGGCATCACTGTGTCCACTGTTTTGTGTGAAATTCATTTCTCTTACACATAAAAAACATGAAAGAATAGATTCAAAGTCAAAAGATATTGTTAGCCTATAATATGTCACTGATGTTAACACAGAATTGTCTAGTGAATAAATCCTTTACTTCTTCCACCCACTTGGAAGGAGATTTTTAATGCATACTTCTTTCCTTTTTTTTTTTAATTTTTTTATTTTTTATTGTGAATTGAGTGATAGTTTACATGGGAGAACATCAGCTTTACATTCATCCTATCATATTTCATTTCATTGCAATTATTACAATCCCTTCCATGCACCATCATTCAACAGCATTTGCTTCCATTCCCTCTGTTTTTTTGTTTTGTTTTGTTTTAGGTGTA